ATGAAAATAATATATGTAAAATGCACAGTACAGTGCATGGCACTCTAGTATCAGCTATTAAATTTACTGTAAGTTTTAGTGTATTTTACTTTAACCTTAAGCATGTGTTTTCCTAATGCTTACTGAATGCTAATCTTATCAACTTATTTTTAAAATTAGAAACTGAGAACTATCTATTTAGTTCAACTTTTAGACAAGATTTTTACATTAATCTTTAACCCATGAATTTGATATTATTCATAAGTTTATTTGGTATGTAATGTTCAGTTCACTCATCAATGTAAGGAAATCAAAGTCCTCAGAAGTGAGAAAGATAAGCCTAGCTTTAATGAGAAAAGCAGCAGTTTTTAATGTTTTCCCCACTCACACAGACATGACAAATACCCTTCACACACACTACAAGTTCAATAGTACATTAAGATTCTGATTAAACTCTTCAAAGTTGATGCAAAACATAAAGAGCATCATAGACTTTTCTCAGTACTGTATTCATGAAAGTACATTATGAGTAGGTGAATAATGAAATCAGACCCATATCGCAAAATATTTTTTAATAAAAATATCAATAATCCAGATTTTTAAGTTAAACTTTATTTTTTAAGTGAGTCTTGATTATTACCAGACCTCTGATCCCTAGGTGGTATAGGGCAAGCGAGTTCTTGTCTTATAATTTAAAATTATAATAGAACAATACAAAGAATTTACAGATTAATGATTATGAATATTAATAGTATTAATGTAAATTTTACTAACAGCATCATTTTAGGTTGGGTAATACTGTTATGTATATAATGTTCATAGCATTACTTTTGCTCAAGGTAGATGTATAAAATGTACTTATCTATCATAGAAGATTTTATGGAAATCATAGTATCACAACTTTATCACCTCAAAATATGAATATGCTGTACTGCTCAAGTTTTATACAGAAAAATTCTGACATGAGAAGGGGCATATATAGAACAAAAAATATATTTTTCACATGGATTTATGATAATTCTACCGTAATAAGTTCCACCCCAAGTTATAGTTCCCAGGGAAAACCCAACTTTCTCAAGGCTACCAAA